TTGGCATCAGTGATGACTCCCAGATCCTTTTCTGCCTCTGCGCTGATGAGAAGGGAGTTAAAGACAAGAGATAGAAGCCTTAAGAAATGTGCTAATTATACTCATAAATTTATTTTAGGTAAATGATGTTGAAGTCTACTTTAATTTTTGTTGTTCCATGCAAGCCAATAGTGTACTAGATCCAATTTAATTTGGAGCTATGAAATTGCACTTTTATAAATATTAAATTTGAACAGCCATTCTACTGTGTAGTTTTAATTAACACATGAAAAATAGATGACTTTCATGTGCCAGCAACCAAGGCTAACTAATAACACACAGGTAAAGTTCAAAAAGTTCTAGGGATACTGTATTTACTCTGAATTTGTGGATTTCCATTTCCTTTCCCCTGTATGCAAGATTCCTACACAGGAAAAACTGTTAAAATGACTGCACAGACCGTCCTTAGTACTACTCAACTGTAACTAAAGTTTTACTTTTTAAAATCTGTTGTTATCATAAGTTATCACTTTGTACGGTAATAGATAAAATGCTTTTTTAGACAGGAGTGTGACATTAAATTGGTCAGAATAAGAGCCCAGGAGAACGTGGATTGGGAAAAAAATATATAGTTTTTCTGGCAATACTCAACATGTCGTCAGAAATGACTTTAGCCCATCTAATTCCTACCTATATATTTATTTTGTTGCTAACTGAGGACCCACAGCATTAATAAAATTGTCCTCTCAATACCCGTGTAAGATTAGGATATTACACAGATGAGGCTCTAAGATACAAAGTAAACAACTTCCCTATGGTCACCTGTAAAGTCTTGTTAGAATTAGTAATTGAACCAAATCCCCTTGACCCCCCCGATAGTGTATTTTAATAACAAGATCATTCTTTCTTAAAGGATTAAAAGTGGGTAGTCTATATTCATTAAGACTCTGATCTTACTCCTGTGAAAACCAGTGGAAGTGAGACTCTAACAGATGTGTATTTGTATTGAGAGAGACACCTCAATGGAAGAATCTTAATGGAAGCAAGATACTATAGTTCTTACCTGAATGGAGTTTGTTGAGGTAGTACCCTGCTTTGCCTCTACAGGCTATTACGCTGAAAGAGTAAATTGCATTGAAATATCAAGTTTGCTATCGCAGTGTAAACCCAGAGGTTTTTTTCGGTGAAAGAGCTTTAGTGGGTGTAGCTGAGCTGCTGCTCTAACAGACTCAACACATTAAAGTAGTTTGGATCCTTGCTTTCTTTACATTGCTAGTGCAGGCTCTTAAATTGTTTTAAACTCAATTACCCAAGAAGAAAAATGGTTGCTTCTGCCCTTAATGGATATCTGGCAATTGCAATGGTAAAATACTACTTATTTTTAAATGAATTAAATCAAGGCAGAACTTTTTTATTAAAAGATCATTAACGAACGTTTACTGTAATGCAAACTGTATTAAGACAAAGGCTAAATGTAAATCAGGTTAAGCTGAAACATTTTGTAAAGCAGTTCTAAGATCTTAATAGGTGTGTATTACCCAGGACTCTCATTTTAAAACAGTTGGAACTGTTTCCCTTCAGGGAAGTAGGGTCTAATAGCTGAAGAACAAGGCAAGAAGATAGATCAGCCTTCTTCTCCTAATATCTCCTCCTGTAGATGGTATAGTGAGGCTTCAGTGAGGATTTTGAAAGTTTTGATGATTCTTAAATAGGATGCTTTGCTCATCTATGGTGCCTAATGTACCTGCCAAAGTTAATGAAGGCCGTCTTCCCCAACCACTAAAGCAGTGCAGGAAAATGTGTTATTCTAGGTATATGTATAAATTGAACCAAACCTGGACTTCACTTTTGAAAGAGAAATTAATTTCCAGTTGTTTTATTGTAATGCTAACTTGTAAGTCAGCAGGTGGCTTTTTGGAGGCTTTTAAAAACCTTTGTTTTTCTTTGCTTTTAAAAACCTTTTACAATCCTATATGCTGGTACAGGATCCATATAGCTTCCATTCTGGGGTTTTTTTTTTGTTTGTTTGTTTGTTTTTTTTAAACACTAATTATTTTGGTAACAGTAATTGTTTTAATTTCACTGGTAAAGCTTTTAAGTTGACCAGTATTCTTTGTCCTTTACTTTCAAACTTTAACATACTTAGTTGATAATAAATTATAACAGGCCCATTGCTAGTTATCAGAGACTCCTCTGGTTATATTGTATAAATTGGATATTAATTGTTAAATTTATTCTGTTCAGCTCTCCATTCTAGTGACATCCTGTAGTTTATTTTTCTGAAACGTCACTATAAACTGGACTTGGGGGCAGAAAAAAAGTCAGGTGAGATTTTAACCAGAAATTGAATTTAGTGCTAGACAAAAAATGACAGTAACTTTCACGTGAATGTCAAGCTAATATGGACATTGTGTTTGCATTTATTTGAACACTTTTCATGCCATCACCTTTCACACCATCACCATCATTTGACTTCACTGTTCCTGAGCTGCCCTAGGGACTCTGGAATTTGTGTTCCGTCTTCTCACAAAACTGCATTTTGCTTCCTACTCTTCTTAATTTTTAGTTGGATTTGCTTTTCTAGTACATCTGAATTGTAATTGCTTCTCAGGTACATGCCCACATCAGGTTGATCTATTCAGTTCCAGTTTGCATACTGGAGTAAAGCAGAGGTCTTGTGGGTGAAGCCAAGTTTTCTTCCTCGTTCTAAGTTCTAGCAAATAACACTAACTTTAGGGAACAAATGTTAATTGTTTTATTTGCTTGACTTCATTTAATATTAGAGAAGGTGCTACAGATATTTCTGACATTGACTAAATTTTTTGCTTGTTTTACAAAAAAATGTCCCTTTGGGATGAAGGATCTCATTTTTCCCCTTTTGCAGTACACCTAATACAGCATTAGATTGTGATGAATTCAGAACTGTTCTAATGTTTGAATAGCAGCACCCATGAGAAATTGTGGTGAAGAGCGAGAACCATGGCCTCTGCCCAAAATAAATGGAAGAGGGACTGCCTACTGAGCTCCTTTTGAAAGATGGTAGAAGTTGCAAAGTAAACTACCACGGTGAAAGCAAACCTGTCATCCCTTCCAGTCTCACTAAGGCCATGGTCACACAAACAAGTTACTAATGGGCAGAGAAGGTGGGGCTTTTACCATGTGTCAGCTGCTCCGTAGTAACTGCCCATATGCGTCTCCCTGCTCTGTAGCAGATGAGACCTAACCCAGAGAACATTAACTATCCTATAGTCTCATTCAGCATGCTGTTGCACACTGGCATGCCATGGGATATTTTTAAGGGTCCTGTGGGGTGCTGCACAATATTAGCACTGTTAGGTGTGCAATACCTACACATGATTTACGAAATAAACCCATAAGATTCCAAATAGAAATCCATAGTGTCAAAAACATTCTGACCTATTGTGGTCTTTCTGAGCTCTTTGCAACAGAGGAATTGCTTCATTACTTTTTTTTATAGTCGAGAATCATGTGAAAGCTAAGAGCTGGCATTTTTCAAGGAGTACCTTATACCCAGGCAGGAATGGTACAGAGACTTCAGATGCTGAGATTTCTTTGCAGTAGCAGATCAAAGAGTTTCTAGAAGTTTAGAGAGAGCCCAAGCAGGGTGAATGAGGAAGCAGGTCACTTCCTGCCCTGCCCTTAACTCTGTTTATTAATAGGCAGAAATTAATGTGTAACTTTTTACCTAGTCTGAATGGAAATTGGAACAAGTACTACACTCCTGTCTGTGCCTTCAGCGTGCTGTTTGAAGCAGTAGCTGGTTGTCTGCACATGAAAGGTATACAGCAAACATCAATATTTTAAGAGGAAAAATCAGGAAGATTTTGACATAATCCCAAAGGGAAGTGGTTCAGACATAGAAAACTTGGAGGTCAGGTTAAATTGGGCTCTGGGAATGAATTAGGCTCTGTAACAGCCTCTCTAAGTGATACAATGCAATTATAGATGAATAGATTCATAGATATAGGGTCGGAAGGGACCTTGCAGATCTAGTCTGACCCCCTGCCCTGGGCAGGAGAGAAAACTGGGCTCAAATGACCCCAACTAGATAATCATCAGGCCTCCTCTTAGAGCCCCCCAAGGTAGAAGCCAGCACCACTTCCTTTGGAAGTTGGTTCCAGATCCTAGCCACCCCGACAGTGAAGTAGTGCCTTCTAATGTCTACTCTGAACCTACTCTCTAACAACTTATGGCTGTTATTCCTTGTTACTCCGGGAGACGCTCAGGTGAACAAGGTCTCTCCCATTCCTTGCTGGTCCCCCCCCCAGTAAGTTTATAGATGACCTCCAGGTCCCCTTCTCGTGTGAAGGCTAAACAGGTTAAGGTCCCGTAGCCTGTCCTTGTAGGGCCTGCCCTGCTGTCTCCGAATCATGCGAGTGGCCCTCCTCTGGACTCTCTCAATGCTGTCCACATCCCTCCTGAAGTGCAGTGCCCAGAACTGGACGCAGTACTCCAACTGCAGCCTGACCAGTGTTGCATAGAGGGGGAGGATTACCTCCTTAGCCCTGCTTGTGATGCATCTGTGGATGCATGACAAGGTGTGGTTAGCCCTACTAACTGTGTCCTCGCGTTGGCGGCCCATGTTCATCTAGGAATCAGTAATGACTCCAAGATCTCTTTCTGCCACTGCTTTCAAGAAGAGAGTTCCCCAGCCTATAGGTATGCTTCTGGTTCTTACTGCCCAAGTGCAGCACCCTGCACTTGTCAGTATTGAATCCTATCCTATTCTCATTTGCCCACCCCTGTAACCTGTACATTATGATTAACGTATGATTGTGTTTGCAGCCCTGACTTAAACTAATTCCAGGCATTCAGTTTTTGTATATTTTTCTCCTCATGGTGTCACTATTGGTTGCAGTTTTTAAACTGTGACAGTCTTGGCAGTAGGGGGCTTTACATGGATGAAAACCAACCTGTGTGGATTGTTTCTGGAGATGAGGGAGGAGGAGGGTTCTTTAAGTGGGTCAGTGTGGTTGAGTGGGAATGTAGGAGGTCAGTTGGCTGCCAGGGATGTAGATGGGAGGAAGAAAAAGCCTCCAAAGAGGGATATCTTGTCTTGTGACATGTGGTCTGTGCATTGAGCTGAAATGGGCAGTGCAGTTCTACTTTGCCTTAAGGAAGGACTGCAGGGGAAGCTGTTTAGATGCAGACATGGCAGTTTGGCCCAGATCCTCAAAGGTGTTTGATAAATATGTTTTAGTATCTGGAACTTGGGGACTAGGCTCCTGTGTCTTTTTGCCTAGAAGGGCTCTTTATGGGTCTGCAATTGTTTGTCAGGGTCAGTTTGTGAAAGAACAATAGCATAAATAAGAATGGATGTTTGGGAGGGTCCCAGTTTACAGAGATTTAAATCATTTACAATAAAGAGTACATAAAAGAGCTTATTTGTCTCATGCCTGTGCTCCAACCTCCAGGGTATATGTATCAAAACAAAGCTAAAGAAAACCCTGGCATTCACACAGGCTTCTGTTTGGATGTGCCACCGCCCACCCCTGCTTCTACATCCTTGTGCATAGGAATACTAGCCTTTTACACATTTCCAGACCTTTGCAGTCCTGTAATGGTGTTTGACACCATGGACCACAATTCTATATTAATATGTAGGGAAGTCATGCTTGGTAAAATGGCCTCTGTGATAAATGTGTTTGTAGTCTCAGTAACTGTAAACTACAATAAACTGGTTTCAATTAACAGAGTTAAAGGAATGAATGTGTTAAGTGTAACCTAAAGATGAGGGAAATGAGCTTGTTCCCATTTTCTGCTTCTTTGTAGCATAAAAATAATAAACCTTATATTTTTTAATGTAAGCAGCCTTGCATTTGTGTTATGTTAGCGGAGAAAAACCTCCAAGAATACAGAGAGCCCTCCCCTGCAATCACATCAGTTGTATGTATCACAAAAAGGAAAGAAAAAGGGGGCTACTTTCCCTTCTTTCTGTTAAAGTCGTATTTAAAGCTGTTTGAATGGGAAGCATGAGTAAACAAGTTAAGAGTTCGGTTCCTTTCATCATGCCTGTTATGGCAATAAACAAGTCTCTGAACTTTTGTGAGACACATGTATGTTGAAAAATATATTTATAGTTTAGTTTTTTGTTTTACTTCTTACAAGAAAGTGACAGTATTTGCTTTTACTTATTAATGCATGAGAAGACTTTTGTAAATAAGCCTATTAATGTTTTAAATACATTTTTGTTAAATATTTTACTAATTCTACCTTCTTCCTCAAATTGTTGTTGTGCAGCTGTCTATCGTGGCTAATCAACTATGGGATAAGTGCACAAAATATATTTTTTAATTTTGACATGGTTAAAAAACAGTAATTAAAACTGAGCTCTGTCAGAGATTTAAAAAAAAAACTGCATGGGTAATGAGCAGGAAGTACTTTGACATGTTGTTATAAGTTAATTATGTTGTATGGTGCTTGATTTCCGTGGGTTGTAGACGAAATTAAATGGTGTGAACCTAAAGTCCTTATGCTTTCTTTTGTACTCATTCGTGTATTGTAAACTTCCTGACAATGTTTGTAAAAGTAAATATTTTATTGTGTATTTTTTCCTCTTTGGTACCTCTTCCTCATTTTCTCAGCCTTTTATATCTAGTATTAATGGACTGTAACGTTGCAAGATATCTAAGCAAGGAGGTATATAGGGAGGAGAATTTCCATTCTCAGGTCTGTCATGAATGAAATGGTATAAAGTGTTTGCTTAACAGCACTTAAGCTTCTTTGATATCTTAGTGGTTTCTTAATATCCCTTCAGTGAGAGCTAGTTGTTCAGAAATGCTCGCTGCCAAATTCTAGCTTCCTCTATAATTACAGTTCCTTATTTCCCTGGTAAATCAAATCTTAGAATAAATAGCAGCAGTTTCTGAAATGAATAGAAGAGCCACGATTAAGTTAAGATTTCTTGGCAATTGTGTACTACTACTACTACTACTATGGCACAATTGAGCTTCATCAAAATTAGATGGAGGCCACAAAGTCAGACACTTGGAAATGCCAAAATTAGGGTGTCTTGTCTTCGTCTTGATTTGTTATATGCTTTATTTATGCTACAGTCTTAATGACATATTTTTTTATGCAGAGGTCCTTGTCGTCAAGAGCCCTGCCTCATTTGTTGTAATAATTGGAAGGTGCAAAGTGAATGAAGCAGGGGAGTGCAGGAAACAAAACAATGTCTTCATGATGGAGGCAGCTAAATGCTGTCCTAGAGAATTGGATTTTATCCCTGCTTCCAAGGAATCCTGGGAAATTACTTACACTTTCTGTAAGTGGTCACTGATTGCATGTTCTTCATATTCTGGTTCTCCAGCTTGGGTTACTAGGATCGGATCTGGAGGAATGCTGAGCACTTAAGGTTGCAGCTAAAATCAGATGTAGCTGTGCTTGGAAACAGTTAAGCAGTTTGCAGAATTAGGTCCTGGGATCTCAAGTTGGATGCTCAAAAATGGGTGGATGCTTTTGCCCTTAACCTGTATGCATCACTTGAGGAGTGAGTGCCATGGAAAAGTCTGTAAGGAAATTAATGTTGTTTTCAGAGCACAGTTTGAACAGTATGCAGTAAATAAGACCAGATTGTTTAACGAGTATAAAACAAAATAATGAGCCCTGTTCATTCTGTCTACTGAATGAGAGAGGTCCTGTGGAAAAACTCTTTGTGACTGTGTAATTAAAAATCATTGTTATAATACAGACACACCAGGGGGTAAATTAAGGATTCATATAGACCCTTAATTTTGGCATTTTCTTTCACTTCCATGATTTGACCTCACAACCTTAATATATGTGTGTGTGTGTGTATGTGTGTGTGTGTGTATTTGGGAGGAGGTTCTAAATTTTAAATAAATCAAATTCAAAAAATTTGTCATGAGACATAGAAGTTTTAGGTCCAGTGCACAGATCTCTCCCTTTTGAGCTAATGGAGTAGCAAATAGCAGTAGCAGTTTCTCATCCTTAATATGGACTGATACTGAAAGAGAATGAAGTATATACTTTTCATCTGGGTTTTTGCAGATTCTGGATTCTTTGCCTTGTTACCTTCAGCTACTTCCCATCCCAGTCCAGCCTTTTCCCCACCCCAGGCCTGTTGTTCAAATTCCACTGTTGCTCACCTGTCTGCTCTCGGGCGCCTTGTGTCAGTCCCAGTATTCTTGTGCAGGTAGTCCTAATGTACCTTTTCAGTCTTATCATCCAACCACCTCCCAGTTTTAGTTTTCCTACCCAAGATCCTGGTCCAAGCTCACTCTTTGTTCTCCTGAAGCTCATTTTTTCCAGTTTATCTCTTCCCCTTCCCTGACTCCTTGTCCCAGTATATTTGCTCAGCCAGTCCTATTGCTGTGCTTACACCCCAGCAATAGTGTAACGGGGAAGGGCAAGCAGACCTCATGCCCAGGGTGCTTGCCCATTCCCCACTTAGCTTGTCCTTCCAAGCTGTATGTCAGAGTGGCACAGGCAGTGTGTAATTGCGTGCAAGGTGTGCTGGGAATCGTAGCTTTGTAGGGTGGCTGACAGGGAAATGAGTCTGGGGCTTAGTACAGATTAACAGTGGAGGAAGGAAACAATGAATAGGTGTGGGGGGAGAGACAAGCTTGGAAAGAAACCCAGGGACTAGAAGCCAGTGTGCTTAGGATCTGACAGTGAGCTGGTTGCCACTGGTAGGAGAATTGACCCTACATTTTTGCCATGAAAATCAGCAATTTTTTATCATCCTGACATGGTCTTCTGTGGCATAAAAATGGGGTGAATGTTTTCACACCCCACAGCAGTGAACTCCCTTGACACTCCAGGGAACTACAGTTCACAGCACATCTTGCACTTTATAACATGCTAAGCTCAAGGCTGCTGGCTGCTGCTCCTTTATGCTGCCTCGTGGGGGAATGGTGAGGGTGGGTTGCCCTGGGCATTGCCTCCCAGTTGCAGCCTCCCATTCTCCAGCTACAAGCCTCATTGCCCAACCAGTTAGAGTCCCCTTTCCCCTTGGTTCCCAGTTCCCCATCTCCAGTTCTGTTCACTGTCCAGTCACTGTGTTTCCCCTACCCTAAATCCTACCCAGGTCATTCGCACTGGATTTGTACCAATCCCCTCTGCCTCTGAATCCTACCGTTTCTTCCATATTGCCTTTAATGAATACTTTGAGTTGGTGTTCCTGCATGCAAATGGTGGTGGCCCACCTTGACAGATGCTGGGGGGGTGCTAATGCCAGCCAATGGTCAGTGTTGAACTGGTGAGGAAACACTTAGAGCAGCTGAATGTCTTCAAGTTGGCAGGACCGGACAGACTACACCTGAGCGATGAGGGAGTTGGCTGAAGTCACTGCGGTACTGTTGGCAAAGGTATTTGAAGACTCATGGTGCTTGGAAGAGGCCCTGGAAGACTGCAAAAGGGCCAATGTGGTGCCAGCCTTTAAAAAGGGAAGGAGGGAGGATCCAGGAAGCTATGGGTTAGTCAGTTTGAGCTCGACACCAGGTAAAATTTTGGAAAAAATTATCACAAAGTCCATTTGTGAGAGACTGGCAGAAGGCATGATACTGAAGGAGAGCTAACATGGTTTCGTGGGGGACAGTTCGTCAGACCAACCTCGTCTCCTTCTGTGATCAAGTAATGAACTTAGATGTGGGAGACACAGTTGATGTCATATACTTGGATTTTTTAAAAAGGCTTTGAAAATGGTTTCCCATTACACTCTTATTAAAAAAAACCCAACCCTAGGGGATTGTGGGCTGGTAGAGGCTATGGTAAGGTGGGTTGGGAACTGGCTAAGGGATCAACCCCAGATAGTGTTAGTGGACTGGTCTGTATTGTTTTGGCGGGAGGTGGCCAGTGGTGTCCCGCAGGGTTTGGTTCTTGGCCCCATGCTGTTTAACATCTTGATCAATGATTTAGATGAGGATATGAAAAACACACTGGCCAAGTTTTCACACAATACTAAGTTATGGGGGAAAGCAGTCATGCTAGGGGATAGGATGCAGATCCAAGCAGCCCTGGACAAGCTGGAAAGGTGGGCAGAGCAGAACTCAATGAAGTTCAGTAAGGATAAATGCAGAGTGCTTCATATGAAGTAACCAACAACATTACTATAGGTTAGGAGAAGCTGTCCCAGCCAGCGCAATGGCTGAAAGGGATCTGGGGGTTATGGTTGATCACAGAATGAACATAAGCTACCAGTGTGATGTTGTAGTCAACAGAGCTAATAGCATACTGGGATGCATTAGCTGATGCAGGGCAATGGAAGTGATACTTCCACTCTACTTGGCATTGGTGAGGGCCTAGTTCTGGACAGTGGACTTCAAAAAGAGATGTGGAGAAACTTGAAAGGGTCTATAGAAGGGCCGCAAGAATGATTAAAGATCTGGAGGACAAACCTTATGAGGAAAGACTAAGGGATCTGGGACTGTTCAGCCTGGGGAAAAGAAGACTGAGGAGGGACTTGGTGGACTTCTGTAAGTATGTAAGGGGTGAATATCGGGAGCTGGGAGAAGAACTAGTGGCAGTGCACAGCAGGTGCCGGTGTACCCCCTGACTGGCCACGCTCACTGCTTAGGCAATGGGCAGGAGAGACAGGTGGGGGTGCCAGTGTCCCCCCTGCAAGCGCTGGCCAATCACTGCAATGGCTGTAGCTGATTCCAGGATCACCCGCAGGTGATGCCATCCCAGTCAGTGGGACAGGTCTCGGGGGGCCTAAGGCAGCACCAGTCACCCGTGAGAGAAACTGTTCACTAAAGCACCCCAGCAAAGGTCAATGAGCAATGGCCGTATACTGTTAGAGTAGGGGTTGTCAACTGGGGGTATGCATACCCCCGTGGATACTTGGGAAGGCTCTAGGGGGTACACATGGGCATGCGGGGACAGAGCACTGCCACCACCACCCTGTGCCACCACCACCTCCCAGAAGCAGGTCCTGGGGGGAGGGGGAGGGTAGCGGTGCCCCTCTATGGGCAGCACAGGCCCTGCCCAGCTGGCCAGATGTGGGGGGCAGGGAGGGGAGCTCACATGCAGTGGCTGCTGCCACCACCCACCACCCTATGCTGCCACCACTCCACATCTGGCCATGCACCACCCCCCACCCCCCCACACTCCGTATCCGGCCACATGATGACCTCCCCCCACTGCATCCAGCTGCTGGGGGTACACATATTGAAAAGGGTTGAAAACCCTTGTAATAGAGGATGGTTTCAGGTTGGATGCAAGGAAAAACTTCTTTATGGTAAGAGTGACCAGACTCTGGAATAGACTTCCCAAGGAGATGGTGCAGTCCCCAACCTTGGAAGTCTTCAAGAGGACATTGGCCAGACACCTTACTGGGATCATTTGATCTTGGCAGTGTTCCTGCTGAGAACAGGGGGGTTGGACTTGATGAACTTTCAAGGTCCCTTCCAGCACTTAATTTCTGTGATTCTTAAGGTGCCAACTGGTGGTTGTTGGAAGAGACTGGCTCGTTGCTTTTGGCTCCACTGCTCAACCTGGAGTAGCTAAGAAACATCTTGACAGAGACGGCCTTTTTTTTTCCCTTAAGGCAGGGGCAACGCATAGGGGGTGCACACGGGTGCCTTTGCACCCCCTTGTTACACAGGGACTTAATTAAGCACTTAATTAAATGAGATCACTCAGTACCTTATACTGTCCAATGTGTTTCATGGTCCTGAGACGATTAGCTGGTAAACCAGGATATATCTATCACTACCCAATTTCCCAGGCAATTAGATGAAGTTGCCACACACACGCAAT